AGATATGGATATATTTTAATAATTGGGATAGATTATTGTATACGAAACGATATAATGAACTCTATCATGTAAAACCACTTAAGTATGCAACAGGTAAAAAGGAAGCTGGTTATGGTATATACACTGGAAAGTTAAATAAAGTAGATGATGCGAAGCTATGGCATCGAAGATTCTGCCACATAAATTTTGATTATATATAGAATACTAGTAAAAACCAAAGTGTGAAAGGTTTACCAGAAATTAAAAAAATCAATGCAAACCAACTTGTATTATTATTGCTAAATTTAGTAGAATAACTTTTAAAACTGTTCCTAAGAGATCCAAAAAACCATTGCAGTTGGTTTATTTAGATGTCTATGGCCTCCTCCCAGTTCCATCTACAGGTGGGAGTAAATATTTTCTTGCTGTTGTAGATGACTACAGTAGATTTGTAACAGTATACTGTACGAAAAATAAAAGTGAATCGTTCGTTAACTTTAAGAACTATCAGAGGCAAATGGAAAAACTGACAAATAGAAAATTAATTAGCATATGCACCAATAACAGTGATGAATTCTGTAACATGCAATTTGAAAGGTACTTAGCTGAAAATGGAATTTGTGTTGAACGTACAAGAGCCAGAAAAGAACGGTGTGCGTGAATGATTTAACCGAACAGCATTAGACACAGTTAAAGCTATGATAGTAAAATGGGAAAAGGGTACTAGGCAGAAGCTATTGGATGTTTTGTACATATGCGGGGACAGGGTGTGTCATAGGAGTAACCAAACCCCTTATGAAATGTTTCTCAATAGAATATCTCACTGATATTATATTGAGGATCACAGTTTATTTTAAAGTATAGAGGTTTTAAAGCCTATGTTGTTGGACAAAAATAAAATAAATTAGAAATGTGATGCAAAGAAAGAATAATAGTAGGATATGCAAAGGATATTAGGGGTTATAGAATATCTATCAGAAGAACAGAGATTAATAGAAACCAGTAATGTGAAATTTAATGAAAAAATGAATGCAGAAGATAGCATTCTGGGCCAGAAATCAAAAACTAAGTTTAAAAGAATAGAAGAATCAGGAGGGTTATCAGAAATGGATAAAGAACAGGAAACTTCTGCAGAACGAATTAAGTCATTAGAACATAAATCTACTCTGAAAGAGGTTTCAGACTTAAACTGGTAAAGAAAAGCAGTTAAGAGGCCAGACAGAACATATACAAATATATATTACTACGTAGAAGGAACAGACACTCATTTTAGGTCTTATAATGACATTGAAAAATACTGTGAGGCTAGAAATATTTAATTTGAAAGAGATATGTTTGACTTTAGTGGCAAAAATGAATATCCTGGAAGTTAATTTTGTAGAACAAGAGGATAGTTTCATATCTGAAGAGGCAAATTCTGTAGAAATTATTATCCCACAAAATTTTAAATAAGCACAGAAATCTGTAAATGCCAAAGAATGAGATAAAGCAACGAGGGAAGAAATTGACATGATGAAGAAAAGGAAGGTCTGGGATTTAGTTGAGAAGCCAGAAAAGGAAATTATGTTGGGTCTATATGCTGAAAAGAATGAAGCAGTTAGATATAAAGCGAGTCTAGTTGGACAGGGATTCAGACAGAAAAGAGGTGAAGATTTTGATGACGTTTACAGTTCATGTAGTAATTTTTTCAATCATAAGAATATTTTTCACAATACTAGTATGTTTGTCCCATTGCTAAAGACACTATTCTTACAAAATTAAACTGTCCATCTATAAGCGCAGAAACTGCTGAAATGTGAAAATTACCCTTTAGAAACCTATTGGGATGTTTAGTTTTTGTAGCTAATACGACAAGGCCCTATATCACGTATGCAATATCTTATCACAATTTCAGGAGAATCTGGAATAAGGCATTGGGAAGCATTGTTGAAATTGCTTGGTTGTCTAAATAAGTTAAACTTATCAAGGATTAAACATCTAAATGGATATTGTTATTCAGATGCTGATTATGCAAGTAACATGGATGACCATGTGTCCATGGGTGGATTTATATTGTAGTTGGATGAAGTACCAGTAATTTGGAAAACATTTAAACAAAAATGTGTAAGTTTATCTGCCATGGAGGCAGAGTATATTGCCTTATTGGAAGCAGCAATTGAAGTTCAATTTGAAAGAATATAAACTATTTTGTGATAACAAATCTGCCATTGACTTTTCTAAATAACCATTAGAAAACAGTCAGACTAAGCATACTGATGTATGATATCACTTTATTAAGAAGACTGCTGAATGATGGGATGTTTGACCTCGAATTCATCAACACCAAATTAAATAATGCAGACTTATTTACGAAAGCTGTAACTGCTATGGACTTGAAAAAGTTTTCTTCAACTTTATATAGTAATTAAGAGCAATAAGTATTGTGTCCATATTATAGAATCAAAGAGTGATTTTTTTTGGGGGGGGTATGAGGCAAAGGAGGGCCGCTGTTAACTTAAAGGTTCTGTTGTTTTTCTTATGCAAATTAGTTCAGAGGTCAATTGGCGATAAGCTAATGTGGTTGCCCCTGATTGGCCAATCACGTAGTATCTGTGGGTTGGCCAATGTTGTCCATATATATGTGGAGATTGTGAACACAAGGAAGTTTGCTGGTTTTCCTTTCTCTTTTATTGTTTTTAATGTAAAGGCTACTGTTACAGCCTAGTTTATTCTATTTAAAGTTATGAAATAATGATCAGTTTTATTTTTATATTAGTCCTGGCATTTATTTAAACAAGGCAAAGTATGCTTTTGCGACTGTTTCAACACCAACAAAATGGCTATATGAGATATGATTAATCTGAAGTATCTGTGCAATATGGAACAAAAAGGTAAAAAAGAATTAATTGACTGGTGTTAATGAACATTTAAATGGCTTTGTTCACCTCTCAGTAATTACACATTGACTTTTAAGTATCCGGAAACCAGAGATCATATCAACATTATAAAAGGTATGTGGAGTGCAATAAAAAGGGATTTTCTAAAGAAATGCCAGTGACAGGCCGGCACTACGGAGGATTTTTTTTTACTCTCATTTTTGTCAATTTATGTGGCGATGGCAGTATACTAGTTCAGATAATTTTAGAATGTTATTGGATGCTGCAAGTAATTTTGTGTGCCACAGACCGAAGACACCAGAATTTCTAAATAAGGAAGTCGAGATTTCCTAAGTAATATAAGTATTATTAGTACTCTAGTATGATATATTCCACCCAATATGAACGATACCACACTAAGCAGTGTTGGCAGTCAACCAGCAATAACGGTAGATGTTATAAGGGGCCATAACAATACAAGCCACCCTCCACCAACTATCATGTAATGGTTTTAAGCCATACCAAATGTTCCAAAGATGTGGTAGATTCCAATGAATTATGAAAACTCTAACTGTTAGTATGACAGTGAAAGCATACACGATGGCTCGACTATTGCTTTTTAGCCTCTTATGGATGGCATCTTCGAAACACTATTGACATGTCTCACTTTTCCCCCACTTTGACCTTTATTCTAGTAATTTACTATTAATTTCTAGTAATTCATGATTGTCTTATGACCAATCTGCTTCCTGGAAGGCAGTGATGTGTCCTCTCTGGAACTCACTCAGTTTCGCATAGCTCATTAGGTGGGTCACTAAGGCATTTTCCTACACTGTGGCCAACAGCTTTATCATGGAAACCAGTCCAAATTTACCTTGTAGGCATGCACTGGTCTTTTGTATCTGCCTGCTTGCCCTGTTTTGATGTGCCATATACACACTATGCAATCAGTGACTCACTCTGTGAATGTTTAATAATATGGATATCTAAACTTTTACTTTCTAAAATTATCTCAACAAGAATCTGTATACTGCCGTTGCCAATAAATTCACATAAATAAGACTAAAAATATCCTCCGTAGTGCCAGCCTGTCGGTGGCATTTCTTTAGAAAATCCCTTTTTTGAAATCCACATACCTTCAATAGTGCTAATATAAGCTCAGGTTTCTGGATCTTTAAATGTCATTGTGTAATTACCGAGGGGTGAATGAAGCCATTTAAATCTTATTTACACACCAGTCAATTAATGCTTTTTTTCCATTTTGTTCCAAATTGTACAGATACTTCAGATTAATCTTATCACATATAGCCATTTTGTTGGTGTTGGAGCAGTCGCAAAAGCATACTTTGCCTTGCTTACATAAATGATGGGACTAACATAAAAATAAAACTGATCTTTATTTCATAACTTTAAATAAAATAAACTAGGCTATAACAGTAGCCAGTTAATCTTTGGATTATGGTAACTTGGTGATTTTTTGGCAAAAATTTGGCGACCAACCCTGCTACAGCAACCTGCTAGTTTTTGTTTGGACGGCATATTGTTTTCATGAAGTAAAGGCATTTTTTTTTTTTTTACTCAACATTTTTTTCCAACAATCTGCTAGTCGAATTATGCTTATGCCAGAACTTTTATGGAACAAAAGTCCTTAATCATGACAAAGATTAGGTGCGAAATTGGGAGAAAGTGCAGAATCGCAAACTGCTTGCCGCGTTTTTAAGAATTGCACATACGCGGTATCCATGTACGCATCGACCTATTTTTACTTTAAAAAAAATCTCAGAATTGCACAAAAATGGCACTGTGCACACTCTTGACTTTATCCATGTACACTGCTACAGTCCTAGCTAGTAACCTTTATTGCCTTACCAAAATGTCGCCAAACTACCTGTTACCATATTCCAAAGATTAGCCCAGTAGTCTTTACATTAAAAACAACAAAGAGAAAAGTAAACCAGCAAACTCCCTTGCGTTCACGATCTAGGATTAGAAAGCACTCATATCATGTGTCATTATATGGTACATGGATTTTTTCATTAAAAAGTCTACACATAATACATATATGCACCATTGAAGAGAAAAGAAGGAAATTCTACAGTAGTCCCCCTCCCAAAAAAAAAAAGCATTCAGTGCAATTAATAATGTCAAAAATTAAAAATAACATACATATGAATCCTCGAGGGCTCTGTTGAATACTTTTATAACAAAATGTTCCAGGTGTAACTGCTTCTTCTCCTAAACAATCTATTACAGAATTTCGTTGAGTATCAAAAGATTCGTATGCTCCACATTTATCTTCACCTTTGAGTTCTTGATCAGAACTACACTGGTAACATCTAATAGCCTTACCTAAATAAGAAAAAGTACACTTTTCTATAAACATTCATTTTAATAGAGAATAAATTTTAAATAAGATATCATAATAAAATTTGATATAACTATTTTAATATGCTATTTCACCAAGCTCATAATTTCAATACTTGCAGATTAATTTCTCTCGCATAAAGTAATATAGTTTGACAGCATATAAACAAAGAAGTAATAGCTGTTATGGCAATAATTTTCTAAAGAATTAAATAAAAGGATCTTCATACACTTGATGATATACTTTCAGACGTGTTGCATAATTTGAAAGAGAAAAAGGGATAGAGGGCGCTGATGCTCACATGTTGTAAGAGAATAAAGTTTTTGCTTATTTTGAAGGTGGCGGCCTAAGAATACGCTCCATGTATAGTGAATTAAAACATTGTTAAAAATGTAAAAGTGTTAAAACTCTGTAAACCACTGAACCACCATCATCTGATTTAGAAAAGCACAAATATTATAGTATGTAATAAGATATCACATGTTCCACAACACATATTATATTTCACAGAATAGATGAAAAACTATTCTTTTAACATTTAAGTTGTTCTGATTTTTCAGCTTTCAAATACTGAAATGCATATTTGTCTTTTCTACATATTGATACACATTTGAAAGCTACAGAAAAGTCATATGAAAATTGCATAAATGCACAAGAATAAAATTTGAATTAAAAATCAAGACATTATTTTACATTTTCATCATCAATATATTTTTTTGGTAAAATCCTAGTATACGGTGCAGCCTTGGCACAATTTTGAAAATTATCGCCAACACCAAACATGATCCAAAGAACGTCTATATATAACTATATACTATATACATAGTATATACCATACACTATATACTGTAGTGTATATACACTATATACATAGTATTGTATAACTATATATTTTCTTTGAATGACCCGTTTACTACTCATCGTATATGTCCCGTTTTTACTGCTCATCATAAAGTCGCCAAAAGTAGCCCAAATCCCGTGTGCACCGGATATTAGGATTAAACCAATTTTTTCAAAGGTACAGAACCTAAAATGGTCAGGAATTTAAAATTAGAATTATTGTCTCATTAATTAAGAACAATATGTTACATTAATCGTATTTATAATGTGAGATAAAAGTTACTAAATATGAAAATGCCTTAGAATGGCAATAAGACTTACTGTAACAGTCTTTATCTTTGGTATCTCTTAGCATTTACATCCTGATCTTATAGTATTTAATTATGATTTTTCTAGTTAAAGTACTGAAATCAGATCCAGAGGTATAAAATTTGAGAAAGAGGTTATTATTTTGATCTGTACTCAGAGATTAAACAATGTTAATAGTCAGTCACAGATATAAGTACATGAAGTATGAATTAAACAATTATAGAAAAATCAAGTATTTTTAACTTGGATTGTACAATTCTTATACACGTAAATATAATTTTAACTCTATTTTCTAAAACAGTGTACTCTCTGGAATATGATCACAAATTACCAAATTGCTGATATTCAGCCTCTCATATCTTATCATTGAATATTACTTTACTTTATGAGTTTTTTTCTTACGACAACGATTTACTTACCCAGCTCAGTTCTCAAATACGATTTACTCACCCAGCTTAAAAAAATATATATGTACATATTCCCTTTTATTTACAGCATCTAGAAACGAGGTACATTTACAACCGTTACACGTTGCACGTCAAATTATATAAGCTAATACATTGCAATTTCAATGACACTGCGATGCGATATCGAATTCCGAGTTTTCAGCTCATAAATAATATTAAAGATTAACTCTGAAGTTTTCAGGCGTTTCGAATTCGTTTCCTAATCTATAACAGTCTCCAAACACACTTACGCACCCTTTTCAGAGTAAAATTCGAAATTTTGTCAGAGCATTTTATAAAGAATACTACGAAAGAAAACCACTTCACTGGTGCCATGACATTCTAAAGGTTTCTGAAAAGCATCACTTATGCGTATTATTTCAGTCATTGTGCCAAAAAAAATAATAAATAAATAATGAAAATCACATTAAAGAACTAGATTAAAGCATTTACGTAAAATCATTTAAAAGTCAAATTTACACAACCCAAGCATGGCTTTTCCTTCACTTACATACCATTAATACAAATCACTAAATAAAAAACTGAAATTCGTTGAAAACAAATCTTACCCAAAGGCAAAATGGATAACATTAACAAAATAAAACAAGCGTACAAAGCGTACATAACGAACTAATACGATTCATCAACTTTCACTCAAACATAAATAACATAAATAAACAAGGTGTGGCAAACAGTGTTGCCAGAGAATAAATTAATATACAACGTACAAAATGAAAAAAAAAAAAATAATAATGATAGAGGAACTGCTAAAAAAAAAGCATAAATAACTGTGCGCGTACATATAAATGCACATATATTTCTAAAAGATGTCAAGATACTTTCTAGTATATATATATTTTTTTTTCTCTAAAGACTGTAATTCTTTTTCCTACAGTAAAATTATTTCGGTATTACTCTTGTTAGCATAGCAACGAACGTGACGAAAAGTGGGAGTAATAAAATTTTGTAATTTTAAAATGTTTGTGACATAGCGTACTTTATCTTTTCTTTTAGTTTTAGTAATAGAGCAGTTTCATTTTCATGAAAGGCAGTATTACCACTTATCTTAAATTCAATTTTCATTCTTATCAATTAAATGCAAAAATTTCCTTCAAGTGAATTGAGTAACAGGTGTACTAGGTTTACAATATCTATTTTTGCGTGGTGGAATTCATATTAATGCAGTCATAAATTTGCATTTAATAAGTTAAGGTAAATTTTTAATTTTCAGCATTTAATATTATTTACAAATTAAGTTCAGAAATAGTTATATACTTTCTGTTATGTTAGTGTAATATATTACCAGAATTCGTGTAAATATATTCATAACTATGTTTTTAGTTTAGATTAATTACTGGAAAAAAATTAGGTAGGTTATAGTTTTCTTCCTTTAAAAAGAAGTGCTAATTTTTGCTATAAATCTCAAAAGCTTAACAAAAAAGAATGTTTACTTAAATGTTTTTTAATTGATTACATATATATGTATTTAAATTGTAAGCTTCATCCACACAGAAACTGAGGATAATTAAATTAGTGTAAAACTGCAATATATATTTTTGCTTGGCGAGATTATTCTGAAATAAACAAGAGATCTTTAAAACATTTAAATTAATTATTTGTATTTGGATTGACAAAATAATTTTAATGAATTTAACATGTGTTCCTAATTAATGTATAAAAGGCACATGCCAATTAGTCCCCTTACCCGGTTGCAACTTTTTTTTATGCTTCATATATCTTTTATCATATTTGAAAATTTTGGCTGTTTGATTTAACTTACTGCTTAAAATATTTACGAAATGGCATATTTAGAGCAAATAATTTAATTCTTTTAAACATTACTGCTAATATCTGTGTATGAACATATACTGTAAATCCAGTTTAAAGTATCAAAAATTCCAAAAAAATATAAATGCAGACATCAACAGAGCGGCAAAAAAATAATTTTGGGCTAAAGTGCAGAATTGCCCGTTTATTTGTTTGGCGCTTTTTACAAGAGTAAGAAGAATTGGATTTTTGTCAATTTTCCTTGACTTTTTAAAAGAAAATAGGTCGATATGTACATGGATAAAGTTAAGAGTGTGCACAATGCCATTTTTATGCAATTCTGAGATGTTTTTTTAAGTGAAAATAGGTCGACGTATACATGGATGCCGCGTATGTGCAATTCTTAAAAACCCGCCAAGCAGTGGGCAATTCTTCACTTTCACCTAATTTTGGAAATTTGCTATGATTCCTAATGGTGATCAGTACCCTTGTCATGGATTTAGTCATTTCAAAATTTTATCAGATTGTCAACATATGAATATAGCAAATTTAACCAGAAATCTATTATAGTATTTTGTATTATTTTAGACAAAGCCAAAAGACAGATGTGCGCAAATCAGAAGCTCTGATTATCTCTTACTCTGCAAGTTGACTTCACAGTTTAAATACTGCTCTTCCTCGTTAAGTATTCAAAATGATTCCAAAGCTAAGTTTCTGGCCGGAAGTAGTAAGTTCAAGTTAAGAATTTGACAGGAAAGGAACTTTAACTTAAAACTTAACTGTTAATAAAATTAAGATAATCCTTACCAAGTATATGTGGGAATTTATTTATTCAGAACTCTAATAAGTCTTAAGCATGTGAGAAATAGACATAGTAAACAAGTAACTAAACTACTACCTTCAGGCTTAATGTCTCAGGGTGCAATAGAAGCAAGATTAAAATTAACGGAAAACTTATCGTAGTCCCAAGCTCATATGCATAGCCAATGTTAGTGAAGATAGCGAAATTTGATGATGGTAGCCACTAATTTTAATGGTTTGGGATATCGCAAAACAAGGTGAAATTTCCTATTAACAGATTTTGTTTGAAATGTGGGAAGCGGTAATAAATGAAGAGATAAAAAGAAGTTTTCTTGTGATGACAGTGCTTCTCAATCATCAATCAATTAAGGAATGACGAAATCGTAGTATGGTTCTAGATCCAGAAATAATATTGAAGAAAGTGACAGGAATTTACTGAAAGCGAGAATTTGATGATAAGTTAGTTGGAATTCGAAACAGCAGTTACAGGACTTCACCATGTAATAAATAAGAGATTAGTCTGGGGAAGAAAGGGAAGTTTGGTACTTTCCTTTGCCAGCGCAAACGATTAAGTGTCCATATGGTAGAACTAATGCCAACAGAATGTCTTCACTTTTAACCTTTTCGCTTCATTTTCAAAAAAGTCGCAGCCATTTTATCCGATTGATTGTTTCTTTCAATACTGGCAACAATTACATAAATTTTACAAAAGATAGTTAAATTAACTAAGACCATTGTGGTAATTAAGTCACTTAGATGCAATCACACCGCTCACCCGAAGGCAAAAAAGAGGAAGCAAAATATGGAATTCATAAATTCTGAGAATGCAATAGCAAGTAGCTTGCGGGTTTACAATTTCTGAGTAAGCTCTTCGTATGAAGAAAATTCTTTCAGTTAAACTTGTATTCCAAATTAAATTGAAGGAATGTAGAATTACTGAAAAGAATTAGATTTTGTAGTGTAGTTTTCATGAGCTGAGATCACTGGAGTCACGTGATATGACAGTGATCAGTTGTGAACCATAAAAGCATAGTAATTCTAATTAATGTCTTTACAATTTATTGCTTTTCAAAATTTTAAGGATATAAAATGTATGCCTCAAAATAAAAAAATTCTAAGACTCCATTTATTAAAATTGGTGTATACCTGTTTGTTATGCCAATAAGTCTTGGAGAGATTTGTCTGGTGAAACAGAAAGTATCAAAAGTATAGCACCAAACTGCGTGAAAGAAAGGGTTAGTAATATAAACAAATAATATTAAGTTTTTTTGGTAAATGGATACCCTGGATTCATAGTGCTTGATTATTTCCTAAATCAAATTCATATTTTAATTTTATAATTTACAGCCATCTTACTAGACTTAAAACTGGATGATCTAATATCCGGAAAAATCCCAATCCAGATCTCCGAAGTATCGACGATCCGGATTTCGGACTTTGTTCTGTAAATATGTTTCTCCACGTCTATCATGTTCATCATAGCTTAGAAATTAAATCTGGACTAAAATGAAATATTTTTCATATATTTTTTAAATTAAATGCAAAGTAGTTGATTTTAGATTAATTAAATATTGTTTCACAAATAATTTGTTTTATAATTTTATATAATAATCAAATATTTAATTAGTTTTTAAAATTTTTAAGTAATCTTCAGTATCTTTTTATTTACATGCTGTGTCCTTTACAGATTCACATGCTGATGTGATATATTATTTGAAGAATTTTCTTACAGGTAGAATCATGACATCTGGAATTTTTTATGCTGCTGTAGCCAGGTCTGGCACTATTCTAGTTAGTAATCAGAGGACTCCTGGTGATTATGAAACTGAAGTTAATGCTTTTTTACCAAATATTCCAGTTGAACGAAATATGAAATCTGGTTATGTCTCTGGAATGTAAGTAAATTCATTTCCGCTGTTTAAATTACTTAAAATTTTTCACTGTTTAAATGCATATTTTTCTGTTACCCTAAGATAGTAATTAATTGAGTGTATTTGACCAAGTCCTTATGTGTATTAATAAACTGTCCCAACACATGGTGATATTTATGACACATTATGAGATGTTTTTATAAATTATTTTAAAAGACATCTATAAAAGGCTGCAGACCTACCATGATAACTTTTGAGGAATTTTCCTATTTTATTTGATATCAATTCTAATGTATTTTTGACTTTAAAAATAAAATTCTGCATTTAAGGGTTAAAAAATTATGAAAAAAATCAGTGAGAGTTTCAGAATTATATGTCAAGAAATGGAGAAGGGAAAACTGTGTTTGGAATTATCTTTCACCAATATGATGAAGAAAGATGTTTTGACTGCTTATGACGCTAGGCAGTTCTAATAATAATGCCAAACCAAATGTTAAAAGATAAAGAGTAATGTTGCAAGAAGGAATGTTGTCAAAAATGCGAATTGCAGTTTTTATGTGTACATCTTAGGTTCTGAAAATTGGAAAATCCCAAAAGCCAAGATACTTTAAAAATGCAAAAGTTCTTCCTTTTTGTTATAAAAACTAAATGTAAGGTATGGATGATGTTGGAACGTTTGGAAAAAAAAAAATATATCTATATATGTATATATATATGTATCTATATATATATATATACTATATATATATACAGTACAAGTCCGTAATCTGAACTCATCGGGACTTCAGTGATTACGAATTAAGGGTTTTCCGGATTATAGATCATCAATTTGAATCTGGTAAGATGGCATGCAGAAATTATACAATTAAAAATATGAAACCATAATTTATGAAATAAAGAGGAATTATGATCTAAAGGGTATCAAAATTAACAAAAAAAAAAGCTTAATATTTATTTGTTTACTTTATTAAACATTTCTTTCAATGTAAGGTGCTTCGTTTTTTGTGTTAAACACGCATGCATTAACATTAAATGTGCACGCGTAAAGCATAACAAAAAAAAAAAAAAAAAGCTTGTGGCTTTGAGGTTTGGATTATAGATCATTCCAGATAATGGACGCCTGAATTACAGACAAAATTACAGTACTGTATAAAACTTTTGGCCTAAAAACAAAAGATTCTGCACTAGATTGACAACAGTACTGCACACATTTATGTAGGGAATGTGAAATGGATTAAAAATTTTTTTGTCCTCACTTATTTAAGCTTTGTTGTTGCTATGGTCCAGGCGGTGATCAGAAGCTTGAATTGTTGTTACAGAAAATCGCTCATTTTAAGGATTTTATAGGTGTATGCAGTTAGATTGATTATGAAGTTTCACTATTTAATGCAATGCTAGCTCTAAAAACTCTTTTATGACTTTTCACAGAATCAACCATTTGAAGCTGTTTTTAATATGCTAGTCTAAGAGGGGGGAGATCAGGTGAATGAGGATTTGCTGGTCATTAAGTAACTGTAAAAAGGCATTTCAGTATTATCAGACAGCTTTTTCCAATATGCAGTGATGATATTATATATGAGTATCTGATTCATGAAAATATTGACAGAAATTAGAAATGAGGACATTCAAACTGTTTCATCTGATACTGATGAAAATACACAAACATAGAAACTGTCGGAAACATAAAATCTCTCAGATTCTATGATTTCTTTCTTTTTCTCTCTCTCTCTCTTTCCTTTTTTTTTTTTTTTTTTTTCTTTAAGTTTGAAAGTTTTGTTAGCCTCAAACCTGACTTTGTCATTGAATCACTTTTGATGTGTGTGTTACTTTTCAAATAAACAGGTGCCACAACATCAGTTAACCCTAGAGAAAAAATGGTTCTCCTTTAGGCGTTGGCAACCAGGTGTATATTTCTTATGCATTAAAAAGTTTCAATTTTTATAATTTAAAACATGAAGGCTTTGATTACTTAAATAAGAAAATGCATACATGCATATTGGCTTTTAAAACCAATAAAATATTTGAATTCAGGAATAAAATTCAGGAATAAAGTGCTGTTCCCATTCCCCTGTGTGCATTGATGCAAGAGATTATATGACGGTAAATACCTTTTTACTCCATTTGCAGGGTTTTCAAATCTTTTTTTATTTATCTCAATTACTATAAGTGGCTCTAATATGAAGAATAACTTTAAAATTCTGCACGTATGGAAACCGAATCAGCGAACCCATTTACTTGATTAATGCTGTAATAAAGTAATTCGAAGCATTAAGAGACTATAATTGCTTGCAACGTATAAATACAATATTTTTTTTTTTTTTCTGGTCAGCATTGCCAGAGTTTACCTAACGTACTGTTTGGAATATCGCATGATAAGAAGTTTCGTGGCCATTAAAGCAACCGATGAAAATATTTATTTTCCATTATATGGAAAAACTGAATAGTAAAAGAAAAAATAGTAAACAGGAGTGAGTACAACAGATTGATCAATAGGGACAATAGCAAACGCATATAAAACCGTAAAGAAAACACCTTTTGAGCAATTTTAAAATTTGAACCTTTCAGATGTTATTTCATTTATTGATTTATTTTGTAATGGATGCAGAATTTTTTAAAAAAATGTCTGAGCACTTTCATTTCAGTTTAACAATTCTTATTTTATGAAGCATGCTGTTACAAAGTTTTTGAATAAGCCAAATTGATTGGCTTCAGGCCAATCTTATTCAAATCTTATTTTAAGTAGTATTGCAGAAAGTTAGTGTAGTGTTGCCAATCTTATTTAAGTGTTGCAGAAAATAAAAAGTTGCCAATCTTGCAGGATCTCGTGATAAAAAAAAATTGCACTTGAATTACAGAAATATTATTAAAGTGAATTTTTTTTTACTTACCCATTGTTGATATTTTTAGGGATTAAAACAAGGTAGCCTGGATATCGAGTAACCGGAATTAAGCCTTCTGCCTGAAAGCAGTTTCAGAAATGAATACTGTTATCATAAAGAGTTGACCCTACAGTAAAGTTTGCAGTGGTGTTTTCAAAGATCATAAATGATGGAAGTTTAACAGATGGATATATCATAAGATTTACAACATTTTTCAATATTCTTCTGTTATCAGGACCAGTTTCAGATATGTATGTGTTTATACACATATGCATACATTATGTGCATGAACACATCCATCCATCCATCTGTACATGCATTCATACATATATTTCTGAATCCAGTCCCCATAACAGATGCGTTTACCCATTTTTCTTTAGCTGTATTGTCAATGTGTTTTTTTTTTTTTTTTTTATAGTCCAAAGGGACTTTGTCCCTAAGACAGCATTCAGACGGTGCATAAAGGGCATAGAGACATAGTCATAAGGTCATAAAATATGGGAGTTCCATTCACACCTGCGAGACGGGATCTAGGCTATGGCCAATGAGAGAAGCTAAATTTGCACATGCGTGGATGTGTCTACATTTTTCGTGTGCTGTTTTCCTGCTCAATCGATTTCCTGCGTTCGCTCTGCTTGTTTTCATTATTTTGTGTCATGGCTTTTTCAGCTCACCACAAAGTTTTACTGGCTCAACAGAATGCTCTTTTATCTGCCCTTCTTATTAGCCAAGAAGCAATGGATGAAGGTAAAAAAAGAAAAAGAACGAAATGTTGTAAAGATATTTTTTTGGAAAGACCAATACTTGGTTGGCAGATATTTCTGTGCAAAGCAGTATGGAATATTTCTACATTGCACTGAGTACTCTCTCTACTATAAACCTGCACTGATATATATAAAACCTTCTTCAATTTTATATGTAATTTCTCAGGAGAAATACAATATTAAAATGCCTAATTAAAAAATCTCGAAAATAGCGACAGATAGCCTGTATTATTTTGGTTTCCGTTATGCCGGCGCAAGCGATAAAGTCGCCAATAATGTACAACCGATTCCAACGGAATATTTCTCGCTGGTAACCTTTTACGCCTCATTTTAGAAACAAGTCGCAGCTTTTTCTTATCAGATTGATTGTTTCTTTCAATACTGGCATATAATTACATAGGATTTTATCAGATAGTACAGTTTTTATGTCTAAGGCCATTTTCGGTAATTAAGTCAATTAGGATGCAATCACAGCGCTTACCCGAAGCCGAAAATATAGAAAAGGTAAAGTCAAGGCTTAAATTCATCCATTCTAATGAGAATGCATTAGCGAAGTAAAGCACTGCAGTTTTACATAATTTCTGAGTAGCTATTCGTACGAATTGAAATATTTGTTGCATTTAAACTTGTTCCAAATTAAGATTTAACTTGAAATTAATGTAGATAATTACTGAGAGCATTAGATTTTTGTAGTTTAGTTTACATGAGATGAGATCGCTTGGGGTCACGTGATAACGTGATAAACCGGCGAATCAGGATGTTTGAACCATGAAATCATAGTAAATTCTTAAATTAATGTCTTTTTACAAATTTATTGTCCTTTATTTATGGCTTTTTTTTATAAAATTTTAAGCGATATTAAAATTTTTATGCCTTCAAAATAAAAAATTCTTAGAACTAAAATTTTTTTAAATATTTTTTATGTGTATACTGTATGTTGTCGCCAATAAAGTCTGCTTGGCGAGATTTGCGCCGGTGAAACGGAAAAGTACCAATATTTTTCCATTTTGTAGGTGTAAAAGCAGTTAAGCAGAAAACAATACTTACCACACATTATTATTATTATTATTATTATTTTAAATTTTCAATCAAAAGGAACATGTATCTGCACTCCTTATTCACTGTCACTGTCGATCACTACAGTAGTTGGCTGCACTACCGGTATCAATTATTACTAGTATTTTACAACTGGCCACCATTACCAGCAACCACGACTAAACTTGTACAATACTATGAAACGTTCACCCAACAATTTATTTTATGCTCAGTCATTTAAATACATTTTGCTGTGTTGCCAGCTGTTTGTATGTATCTATTTTTAATCACTTGCATGTATAAGCCGCACCCCTGAATTTCATATGCTTTTTCTGAGCGGATTTCTATCGAGAGAATACAGCACAAAGTAAACACTAACTTTCAGGAATTTTTGTGGATAATTCTGCAAACTGGTATGTTTATATCGCATGAGTAATTCAAATTAAACTCTGATTTGAGATCTCATAGATGTAAATTTCATCCATGTCTATTGTCAGAAGTAATTTCTTTTAATGATTTTTCATTTGCTGACAGATTATGACAAGTCTTCACTCACTGGAAGACATGCATATTAAAGCACCAAAAAGAGTTTAATTTCAACATATGCTGCCATTTCTATTTATGACCAGTATCTCAAAAGTAATTTCACATTTGACAAATTTTAGGTGCCCAAGTCTTAAAATACAACAAAATTGTAAACATTCATACCTTATCCATGAATTTCTACCAGAGAAATAGCATGAATTTAATGATCAAATTTCCATTCAAATGATATTAATAAAAAGTGGATAATAATAACAAATACTGTTCATTAAATCATAATCTATGTTATGAATTACGTGTGCTATTCAGTTTCATTAAAAGTAAATTCCTTTCATGAAGAACATAATTAAAAAACAGAGATCAACAGGAGACAAAACTGTCTAGACTCTTGTTTTAATTCCTTCATTTTTTCCTTCTGGACTTCATAAAGACATTTTTCAAAAGATTATTTTTTATTACTTATAAAAAGCTTACACTATTCAATTGACTATTGTGACTATTCTTAAATAAGTATTTTTTTCTCTTTTTTAAAAAGTAATATTTTTACTGTCAAAAAAAAAAGGGGGGGGACAGATTTTTGATATTGGTTTGATGTTTTAGTAAAATTAATTTATAAAGTTTGTTTGGAAAGAAAATCACCATTTGAAGCAAATAGCAATACAATATTTCCAGCTTTTTCAATAAATTTATTCTTAAATACAAAAGTAATTAACTGGAAGAAATTGATAGCAATAATTTATACAAAAATAATAAACAGAAAGAAAGTAATAATAATTTACACAGAAAAAATAAAATTTTTGCAAGCATGCATTTTTTAAAGAATTTTCATAATAAAATGAAAAATAATAGATGGGATCAATGATCTACAGGGTCATGCACAGCGTAATTTTCGCTTTACGAGTTTCATCCATATTTTTCAATTTTTTGTGCAAACTCATTAAAAAAATGCATGTCATCATTGTAGTTTTCTTCCGAGATCAACTCATTATTTCGTTCGGATACGATTACAACTCATTTGGATATGATGTGCTCTATATTTTTAAAAAAAAAAAAAAAATGTCGCCTTCGATCTGACAGCGAAATTGTCTGCAGAAAGCAGCTTCGTTTTAGCTTCGCTCTGATTGGTCAATGCTAATCCCAAACTCAGCGTAAAGTTGAAAACTTAGAACCTTACACTGCGAGCCTTAAACCAGATTTTGTGATGTAGCACAGATTGGTTGCCTTGGGAACAGAGCTCAGCATTAACCACTTATGCCCTCGTCTGAATGCAGCCTAAAGGACTGTTGTTTTCGTTTTGTGATTTTCTGTTGGTTCACCATAAATGTCCATTTTACTTTTCAAACTGTTATCACAATGCGAGTACAGCCATCGAAATTTTTTTTAATGGGTCATCTTGATAACTGTAATAAATTATATGCTATATGTGGCAATTTTAACCTTTTGAGGCCGGGGCTTTGGTAGCAGTAAAAGCTGCCAAAGGATGGGGAATCTTGAATCGATTGCTTTCCCCCCCTTTAAGAAATCACCTCCTATTTGCGACAAAGATTCTTGTGTGTAGTTTAATGGATTCTCAGAGGGGTGCATCTATGTCGCAAAAGGAAAACCTTTGAAAGAGATAAGTGGTTAAAACCCCAGGGACATCAACTTTGACATTTCACCCCACTTTTCAGCCTGGAAAATGGGGGATAAAGACATGGCCACTAAAGTGGACAACCCCGTCTTTTCAAAGAGAGGACTCTATGGCCACTATAATGGCCATCCTGTCTTCAAAAGGTTAAGTAGTGTTGCAGAAAATAAAAAGTTACCAATCTTGTAGGATCTCGTGATAAAAAAAAATTGCACTAGAATTACAAAAATACAGTACAAAGTCCGTAATCCAGACCTCCATTATCCGGAATGATCTATAATCCGGACCTCAAAGGCCACAAACATTTTTTTTGTATGTTTTACGCATGCGCATAAAGAATGCGCGCGTTGAAAGAAATGTTTAATAAAGTAAACAAATAAATATTAAGCTTTTTTTTTGTAAAATTTGATACCCTTTAGATCATAATTGCTCTTTATTTCATAAATTACGGTTTCATATTTTTAATTGTATAATTTGTGCATGCCATCGTACCAGATTTAAATTGATGATCTATAATCCGGAAAAGGGGTTCTGGATTAGAAACCCCTTTTCCAGATTAGGACTCCTTTAGGAAAACGGGTTCCAGTTCTATAATCCAGATTAGGGGTTAATTCGGAATCGCCGCAGTCCCAACGAGTCCGGATTACAGACTTTGTACTATATTATTAAAGTAAATTTTTTTTTACTTACCCATTGTTGATATTTTTAGGGATGAAAACAAGGGTAGCCTGGATATTGAGTAACCAGAATTAAAAAGCAGTAACCTCTCTATGTTATATATCGATATATTTCTTTTATGAAGACAGAATAAAATAATTCTTGAATTGCACTGTAGTACTCTTTTGTGGAGGCTTGTCAAAGTTGATATGTATTACTTACCGCTAATATTATAGAATTGTAGTTTAACCAATTTTTAAAATATTTTATGGGTTGTTGTTTTTTTTTCCTCGGAGTGCATTCTTACATAATTTTTTGTCTGTAAAATCCATTTAATTTATCTCAATTTGGTCTTTATCAAGCTCAGATAAACCCCCACTGCCTTTGCATCTGAACGACTAAAACTGATTAATGAAAACTTGGAAAATTTTATTTACAGTAATATCTTTGATTAACATTTCATAAATTTAGCATATGCCATCACTGACATATGCTGCTTTGTTTTGCAAGACAATGATTCTGGTATATATATATATATTTTTAATATTGTGTGCATTTTAATGGCATGGTTTATACACAAGTAGATGGAGCCAAGGTTAAATTGTCTTGTATAAATATTCCATATGATGTTCTTTTCCTTTTAAATTTTGTAATTTATGTACTTATGTTGTATTAATTTTTAAATTCTTTATAATATTTTCATTCCTACATTAAATATCATTAATTTTAATGTGCTTTTTTTCATAACAGCATTACATATCATATTCTTGTTGAAGATCTGCTAATTTATATTTGTGCAGCTGAAACAGAATTTGGAAAAAATATTCCTTTTGCATTCTTAAAAGAAGTAAGATTTTTAAAATGTCTTTCTGTTTTGGAACTTTATTAATGAGATAATGTTTCTAAATATTTTATTTAGTATATCATAGGAAAAATGTAATTAAAAATGTCATCTTAGTACTACTTATGTTGTACTACAATGCTTCCAAATAATCTACTCCATGCTGTTGCCTTCTCCTTTGCCTCGTCTCATAACTGTCAATCTCTACTGCCTATGAGATTCCCACTGAATGATTCAGTGCTGCTAATGATTGAATTCCCACTCTATTTCCATTCACTGTATTTCTGTTTTACTTTTAATCAAAATTACATAGGAATTCCTTTATTTTTGAAGTTATCATAAATAATTTCAAGTTAACTTCATTAATCATTTATCAGCAAAAAATTAATATAATATTTTGTTCTTGTAATTCTGTAAAGTATTTTAAAAGTTATGTGGTGACGAGAGTATATCAAATCAAAAATAAATAGTTGTTAGAATTACCATTGGTACAACTCTGATATACGCCCTTATTTCACCAAATGTGGCGATATGTGTTCTGCGTTGGTTTTTGGCACGATTGCGTGTTGTATGGCAACCCTGTTGACGTTGAAAAATCTTACGCTGGAGTTCGTTGGTCCCCGTCATGCTTTGTGTCTGAGAAGCTAGGGGGGGAAAGATTTAATGGTGAAAGTTGTTGAATTGAAGTTCGGTATAAGGGAATATCGTCGTGGCGATCCTGTTGAGGGGCAATGCGTATTTGGAGGTGTGGAAAGAAAGTATGGGAGATTATTTTTAGTGGCTGTGCATGATAGAAGTAGGGATTTGCGATTATTTTGTTATTTTATTTATTTGTGAACCATAGTATGAATTTTCTGGATAGTGTGTCTGGCTGTCATATAAATACGATAGTGATTACGTGGCGGTATGCAATTGGTATTTCTGTTGTTCGAAAAAGCATTAATGGTAAGTGCATTTTATTTTATTCTTGTTCTTATTTTGTAGAATGTTATGTTCATTGTTTTTTTAGTATGAATTTCTGTCGTTATTGTTTTTTTTTTTAATTGTTTGAAATTTATTTTAGTTATTTTGTTGATTAGTGCGTACCGTCTAAATTGTGCAATTCGTAGATTTTTTTTAAAGTTGAAACAGAACACTGTGTACATGTTATTCTTTGAAATTTATTCATGTTATGTTAATTTATCAAAGCGAGGTGTGCGTAGTTTGTATATTCGTTCGTTGCCTAGATGGTGCCATTCGTAGATTTTTTTTTAAGTTAAAAGATATCGCTGTGTACATGGACTCTTGTCAAATAAATTTTGGTTAGAAACTTCACGGTTTTGCTATCTAAATTTTTTGTTTTTGTTTCGGATTTTTAGCTTAAATTGTGCGTTCAAAATTTGGTTTTTGCATTCGCGAAAACCATGCTTTTTGGAGACATTTTAGGCTTAAAGTTCGAAATGTAGACAAAAAATTTAGATAGCAATATGGCAGTGGTGAGAAATTTGGTGCCTTGGGGGCACATATCTGAGTAGTTCCTTACCATTAATCCTCTCATTCACTGACTCATATGCTGTATTTCATATCAAATATGTTTAAGGATTAAATTATTAAATTAATATTAAAATTTGTGTGTAGAATTTATGTTCAGTTAAAGAAAAGCATTTTGGGGATTATAAAGACACCTTATCTGCACATTATAAAAGTAAAAACTAAATATTTTATGTATAAACTTAATGATCTAAAAAGTGTGTTGAGTAACATCGGTTAAATTATTTAATGAAAGAAGCTTCACCAGAAATTATTTTAATTAGCTTTTATATAATATAAAGAGTGTTTTTGTATATTTTATCTTAACTCAGTCGCTGCTGATCATATGCTAGTGTGTGATGTGATATCATCTATTAGCCATTCACATGCCAATATATGGTGAGGTATATATCTCTATGTTATTTCCACATTAATCTGATGTTAGTAAAGCTTTGGATACCTACCTTGGCAGCACATGTGTTAAGTAAAATTTTGGTTACTTTTTTGTTAAAGCACCCACCATGTGCACTTTGGTAGAATTTTAACGACATTTGTAATTAATTTGAAGGTTAAACAGAAAGCATTATGATAGCTTTCAAAAAATGACATCCTTTTAATACATTAAGTTTTGTTAATAAAAATTAAACGTGTTGCATGTTAAAAACCTAGCAATTAAATTTGCTAATTCTGGCAACTGACAGAGGCGCCGGTTGTTAAGATCAGGGTGATGAGTTCATTATGGTGTTGTTAACAGATATTACAAGGTTTGTACAGTCCTTAAGAGTCTTTAGATTTTTTTTAATCATTTTTCGGTCCTCAAAAGTCCTTAATTTTGGCCAAAATTAGCAGAAGGTCCTTACTTTTAATCATCTGAAATTTCTGTCTGTTTTTATGACTGTCATTTTGAGTGTGAATTAGCATTTTGAGGAATATTTTTTGGCGATTCACTGTCGTCTATATGGTTATATTTTGAATGGGTTCATGAGTAATAATTTCTTTCTATTTCTAATATAAATGATGGGATACTCGAGTTTCTAAGCAAGAAGTGAAACATAAGCATTTTGAAATTCATTTTTTCTAGTAAAGAGCTCTTAAACAACTTTTCGCTTTTGGGGATGTGAATTCTTTTATTAAATGATTCTAAATTTGGCGACTTTTCAACATTGTGGCGATTTTAAGATTAGTTTCTATAGAAACTTTTTAATTCCGAAATCTGAGAATTTTTTGACGATTTTTTTTAAAACATCATAAACATTAATAAATTTCATTAAAATAATGGTAATATATTGAAATTATATTTAAAAAATAACATTAAAATAAAACATTTTTATTTTTTGCTGTAATATTATAAAGTTACATTTTGGCAACTTATTATACAATATGTTAAATCTGAAAAATAAACAAGATATAATGCTATAAAGCACAATTTACAAAACAGCTCTTAGCAAAAGCAAAGTTAGCTGTGTAATTAATTAAAAATGTCTTGTTTTAATTTTTTCATAGTAAAAGTTTTTCCCATCTAATTGTCTCAGAATATTCAAAATTCTCAGAATGTGCATCAGTTTTCTCTATAAAATTAATTTCATACTTTTTCCCTCCTATTTTTTCCCAAAATATTTCTGGCTTTTTGCTGTTACAGAATTGTAGGGATAATTTTCCTTTAGGATTTTAGACATTGCAGCTTGGAAAGTTTAGAAGGATTTGAAGGCAAGATTTATAGACCCACGATTCTAGAAGATTCGAGAAATATATGACAAAATGAAAAATGTCTCTGTGGTATCAACATGTAATGGATGTATTTTACAGAAAGTTTGCAATGGATTTATAAATTTTTGAAGAACATCTGGAAGAACAATGAAAACATAATATTTGAATGTTTTACTTCTGATACTAGAATCTTAACATATTTATCTTCTCTTTATTTTCTCTACTTTTGACTAGACAGAAGCATGGAAAATATCAAAAATGCTTCTGATCTTATCACATGGGCAGGCATTATAGAAAGCATTTTATTAATAATGAAATTGAAAACTTACAATTTAAAAGATTCATCTAATATTTTTTAATGCATACACGTAGCTGGCACTAGGCATTTTCCCACCTTATGCAATCTCTGTGGATCCTAAATTCTGCTGCCTAGTGCCTTTCTAAATTCTGCTTCCAATGCCTGCTCTAAATTTTAAAAGTTTTGCCATTTCTAGATTTTGTTGTTCGGTGTGTCACTAAATTCTAGAAATTCTGCCACATCAGCTCTAACCGACATTTATTATATATATTTCATATTGCTTCTGAATGCTCATATTACTGAAGAAATAAAATTAGCCGCTTTTTCTGTACATTCTAAATGCATTTAGTGTTTTTTAGAATAGCAGAAATCCTTAATTAAATCCAAAAATTCTAAAATGAAAAGGAAACGTGTTTAAAGAAAAAAACTGAATACATAAAGGAAATTATTCTTCAAAGATATGTGCAGTTATTATTATGTAAATTACCCAATTATTTATGATTTCAATCTTTACTATAATTCCCCATTTCTATTTCCTCATATGATAGAGTTATTGAGCCAGATTAAATTTAAATTAAATTGTATAATCTTTGACCACTAGTCTGCATTATTAGTTTGAATTTGACTGTTCTTGTTTAATTACGTCACCGTGAGCTGTACTTTATTTTGTTAGCATCAGAACATGCCTTTTTTATGTCCTAAGCTCTTTTTAAATAAGAGGCTTATTTAAATCTGTGTCTGATATTGTAGTTAATTTCAGACATAGAGATAATGTGCTCCATGCCTGTTGGGAGTTTTGGACTATTTAACTTTTACCAGATCAATTAAACCCTCATAGGTATATTGTGGAGAGGTTGACAAGTTAGGAGATAAAGATGCAGAAACTAGCAAGAGCATTGATTTTTCTTATTGAGACAGATCTCTAATTGTTAGAAAGAGAAAGAGAAGAGGAATAGAAGAGAAAGAAAAGAGAAGGAAATTGATATAAACTAGCCAAAATGTCTGGGAAGACTTCAAATTAAAATGATGGATAAATATTTTGACTGTTGTTGTTACAAAACATAAATGTTCTGTAGCTTTTAATGCATAATTATCTTAATATCGTTTAATAATCTGTGTCATAAATTACATATACTTTAAACTGTGAAATTTTATTAGATTTTAATAGGACTTTTAACAAATATTGTTAAAAAATAAAATTTAATAGTGGTCATGTAAATCTATAATGACCAAGGTTATCAAACTACTTAATTTAACTATTTATAACTAACTGCTTACCTTTAAAAATTATCTCTACATATTAAAACGAGTTATTGCCTTTCATTAATACTTACTGTGGTCACAAGATGAAATATAAAAATTCAAGTAAAACCTATTCTATGCATCTACTTAGACTTAAAATAATACAAAACAACTTATCACCTCTGGTGCTTTAATAGTTTATTGGAACCTTAAAGTATATTAACTGGGTTACAAGCCCTGGAACTGTACATGAAGCTATGACACTAACTGCATCAAACAGAGCCTGACTAACTTTCAACACTTGCCAACCTTGCCTATATCAGGCCTTTCAGGTTTATTCTAATCAACAGGTCTCTCTCTAGACAAGCAGCAGTTGTGACAACATTCAGTCTTTTGTTATGAATCATGCTGATTATGATCTTACTTCTCATTTTATCCTATGCAGTTTGACATAAAATCTACCGCTTATTTACTAAACCTCTAGACTGACCAAGTATGTGACAAAATGAGACATAAAAAAAATCAACATAAAGCTGTTAGTAAAATGTAAATGTCACTTATCTCTTTTCAAATATGACCAACAATTATAAGTGTAAAATATTTAATGCTACTTCATAAATTGCATAAAGTTTGTTTTATTCTCAAACTTATTAACAATTATGTTCTAGGGATCTATTTTATTTTTAGCATGGTATTGCAAAAGGAAAATTCAGGCATAGATAATATCTTCAGTTGAATTTATTCAGTTCCCATTTGCTCATAGGTCCTTAATTGTTTTCATTAATGGTCCTTAAAAGTACTTAATTTCCGTATGCGGAAATGTGTACGAACCCTGTATTTTGAGCACATGTAAGAAAGAAAGCTGCAGGACTTCAAAATGCCTATGTTAAAGTATTCAAATATAATGTAGTGTTTTAAATCAGCTTCAAAATAAGCAAAAAATTTTTTTAATATTTTTTTATTGCAGATAAAGACAAGATTTACAAGTGGAAGTCTTGCTATAAGAGCTCTTACTGCTACTGAACATGAATTTGACAGAGATTTTAGCTATATTTTGAAGGACCAAATGGTATTAACTTTTCTATTTTAAACTAATCTGTATAAGTTATAGTTTGATTAATTAAAAAGGTCAGATATGGCCAGACTTTATCAGTATCAGCCTTATTTTAAAATTGAGTGAAATTCAAAAGTTTCTACTAGATTGTCTGAGAGCCACAATGAAGTTTTTAATTTTTCTTTTCAAAAGTAATAAAACAGTTCATGAATAGAAGCATTCTAAATAAACTAAAAAGAATATCACATGTGGTTATTTAAAAATGTAACTAAAGAACTGCTGTTGCTTTTCCCTCCTTTGTATTTAGGAAAGTACAGTACAGTGTACATTAACTGGGCCTCTATCAAACAGCTTCTGTTAACCCTAGAATGCTAACCCTTTACATTTAGTAAAGGGTATTTCTTGAAAGAAGGAAAATATCTTGCTTTCAGTTACAGCTGCATCTTAAACACAAAAGAACATAGTATATCTGAGTGATAATGGAGCTAGTATGCACGGTTTAGTAGTTGCACTTGCATTTCACTGTTGTGCGAGTAAAATTTACTCAGGTTAGCATTCTAGAATTAATCAAGCCAATAAGCAGTTCAAAGAAATCATTTGCAACATGTAATAGCATTGAAAAGGATACCATAAAAATTAGTAACATTCATGAATTTTATCAATAATTGATGTTTGGGCTTTTGTTATCAGTAATTAATCATTTAGCAACCTTCCTATTGAGCAGTATAGTAAAAAATATGCTTTATATATGTTGAAAATGAAAGCAATGCTAACTGACAGCCATTTAATAGACATTTTTCAAAAGATCAAAGAATGTTTCAGGATGGATAAATATAGTAAATAGTAAACTAAATTTCTGAACAGCATAGATTTAAAGAACAATAAAACTTGCAGTGATGTTGAGAATGTGGAAATTAACCATGCTGAAGTCTTAGTTTGGATTTATTTTGATTATGGCAGAGCAATTAGGGCTGTCTCCCCGAAAGGAAGAAAGCCTTCATGGAAGATTTTCTGAAGGAAGTTGGTTTATGGATGATGATATGGGGATAACCATGAAAACTTCATGCATCTAGCCTATTTGGTGGGTTTTGAACCTGAGTCAGTATTCAGCAGTTTTACTACTTGGTTGATAATATACATGCTGAAGCCTTGAACAAAGCTCATTAATATTTAAGGTAACATCCTGATATCTTTAATATTTAAAAAAATGCCATGTGAATCTTTTGTTTATCAAAAACCAATGTGTCATGTGATAGCTGTTAGTTATAGAACTGTCACAAAAAGGTTAATATACTTTTTCAAAAAATTCTCTCATAAAAATGCATGTATGAAATTTGACAAAATTTCAGTATTTCATAAATTTTGGTTTTTTATTTATTCCAGTTTTTCCATTTTTCATGAATATTTTTGTGATAAAACAAAATTTTATATGGATTGTTTTTTAATGAGAAAAAAAATTGTTTCTAGTAATAGAGTTTGTTACACTATTAATAATCATACTTAAGCACTTTTTTAGTTTTAAATAAACACTTTTAGAAAACTTTGTTGTAAGAAAAATTGGCATGATTTCAAATTTAGTCTGTATCAACAAACTCTCAACTAACCAATGTGATTATGGTTTCCACTGTCTCACATAATTGATATTCTTCTGTATATTCCTGTGTTACATAACATCTAAACCTTAAGAGTATTTATAATGAACTTCAAAATTTAAGAAATATTTCTTTCCCTTGTTAATTAATTATCTGGTTTAAAGCTATCGAGTTTTCCTTTCCCATACTTGATAACTAAACTAATTGTCCTTTAGCACTAACTAAATTAAAAATTCAAAGAAAAAAAATCTAGAAAATTTTAAATAGATATCTATTATATATTTATAAATAGATATCTATTATATATTTTAAATAGATATCTATTATATATCTATAATATCTATTATAGATTTTTAAGATCACATTTCTATTCTTATAAAGTTATTCATATGCAATAAAAAATCTGGATTGTTCTGTTAAGTTGAAGGTATGAAGAATTATTGTATACTGATTGGTAGTTTAGAGTGGTATAGTGCAAATATGTAATTTTATGTTAATAAGATGTTAAATTTATCTGCTGTTTTTATGTTATACAAAAAGATATGATATGTATGATTCATTTACTTTGAAAAGATTATATTTTCAGAAGTATTACATGTACACAGATGAAAGATATATGAAAAGAACCACAAACTCACCAAGTTAATACATCCTGTACAAATGTTCAATATGTGCCCCTTTGGTGACACGACGCATGCCCAGACAATAATCGAGCCCAATCCATGTATTTTGTAGCATAGTCCTGTCAATTGTCTACATTGCAGCACCGATGCATTTTCTTCGCTCAGCTAGGGATTGCGGTAGTATAAGTATATAAACAAGGTCATTAACATACTTCAGAAAGAAGTCGCAGTGCATTAAATCAGGGGATCTGGGAGGCCAGGGAAAAAAAGGTAGGTCATTCTCAGCAATACATGCTCTATCCAGTGATGTGAGAATTCATTGTTTAGGTAGTCACGAACAGGGAGGGCATCCCAATGAGTGGGTGCCCTGTCTCGTTGGGAGACAAAATCCCTGAATCAGCACTGAATTATGGGAACAACCATAACTGCAACATATCCAGGTAGCATATACCAGTCAGTTTTCTCAGCGAAGAAAAAGGGCCCATACATCTTTGTTTGTGATGCACTTAGGCGAATCTCTTTCAATTGTTACAACTGCACGTGAATTTTCCAAAACCAATTCATGTTCTCGGATAAGTGAAATGTTGCTTCATCACTGAATATCAACTTAACACTGAAATCTTTGTCCTCCAATGCTTCCTGCATGTTGGTGCAAAAATCTAATCGACAGGCAGAATCCTTCGGCTTTAATTGTTGCAGGAGCTGCACACAGTGCGGTTTGAAATGCAACTATTGATGCAAAATCTTCCACACAGTTTTCTGTGGTATTCTAAATTCATGGCTTGCTTGGAACATTGGATTTTTTAAAAAAATAATTTGTACTTCATAGAAAACTATCCCTCATTATCTCCATTGTTTCTTCTGGCACTTTTGGTCGACTAGTGCTTTCCCTTTACACAAGCAACTAGTGTCCTTGAATTGCTGATACCACTGTAAAATGCTTTGTTTACATCACAGTTCTTTTCCGTACTCTCTTTTGAAAGCGCATTGCACAGCTATAACAGACAAACATCTGGCATATTCAAGCACACAAAAACTTTTTTCTTGCTTTCCCTACCCATTTTTGACAGGTACTAACCTCATACTGCTACACATAGTCGGAAAGATAATGGACTCGTGCTGCCACCTGTAATATGCAGTACAAACATGGTGGGTTTATAGCTCTTTTCATATATCTTTCATTTGTGTACATGTAATACTTTTGAAAATATAGCCTTTTCAAACCAAATGAATCATTTATGCTAGCCCTGTGTTTCCTTTTTCAAGAATTAATTTATATGCAAAATCCTTAATTCATGAATTCCAAAAAGTTCTAAAGCATGCATTTGGGAAACATTCTTGAAGTTTAGATGGAAAAAAAAAAAAAAAATTTCCTCATTCAGTAAAAATTTTTGTAAGCTTTGTCATGAAATTTACATCTTCTAGTGTAATTTACTGTAACTGGTATTAAATGTTGTCATTAAAGTAATTCTTAAAATTCCAGTGCTTGCTGTTTGAATGAAATTATTTTGAGTTAAATTTTTATAATTAAGTGTATTTGTAATTCAGTTAACATTTTTTTTTTTTTTTTAAATTTTTATAATTAAGATTTTGAAGTGCAGTTTAAAACTATGCTACCTTGCATGCAACTTATAATTCATTGTCATGCTTTCAATTGTATTAGATTAAATACAGTACAGATGCACCCGTTGATGGTGTGGGAAGAGTAAAGAAACAAGTTGAAGAAGTTATGTCTGTAATGAGTGATAATATTGAGAAAGTTGTTGACCGTGGAGAAAGACTTGAATCCCTGCTAGACAAGACAAATGAACTTGAACTCTCAGTATGTTATATTTTAAGGAATCTTAATACTTTTAGCTATAGATTTATTATTATCTTTTTATTCTCTCCTAAGATTTCAGTCCTTTTAATAAAGTTTTTAAAATTTCACATATTTACTATTTTAAGAATTTATATGATAGTCTCTTTAAATTGTAAGTCTCGTAAATTTATTAAACTACTCCCAAAAAAATATAGCTGAAATCTTATCTTTTCTTATCTATCACAAAGTCTGTTCTCAAAGAAATGAACTCAGAAAAAGTCATCAAACGACATATTATTGTTATACTTGCCCCACCAAGCCGAACATATGTAAAATGTTAAAATATAAAAATTTTATACATTAATTTGTGTGTATAATGATGTTAAGCTACTGGTAAGAAATGTGTCAAAAAAGTTGTGAAAGTCTCGAGTTGCTGGTGCGCCACGCAAAAAAGGCCCTGAGTGCAAAGGTTTAACTAATAAAAATTTCAACTTTTATTTGGTCAATATCCTAAACATTTCTCTAAAGTTGCATAAGGCTTTGAAGAGAATGGATTTTGATTTTTAGTTTGAGTCTGGTATTCAGTTTCAGAGGAAAGGCTTTAAAAAACTAATGTTCAATGTTTGGAATGATTATGAAAACGAAAAATTATGAATCCTATTTTAAAAAATCTGATGTGTACACCACATGACTTCCTTGTACGGAATATTAAATAATACACATTTTTTCTTGCATTTCATTTAAACTTATTAGATTGAATTAAACCTACTTGCCGACAGCGCATAAACCACAATAGAATAAATGCATTCTTTAAAATTCACTTTGTTTACCATAGCGACACTCTGGCGCTAGGTTTACTTAACAGTATTATATTTCGTTCATATTATAACTCAGAATGCACAAAATTTATATCATTTAAAGAATTATCTAATCGTTGCCACATGTTCTATTCAAATACTATAACAAAGCTAGAACAATGTATAGAACAATGTATAAGAGAAATTAAGCAAACAAAACAAAAAAGAAACAATTTTTCACAGACGATTGAGTATTTCTCATTCAATTAATTCAGCTTTCACTTCGCGACAAAGCAATAATACATAAAAACTCAAAATATCTGTATTAAAAATTATGAAGTAAATCATAAACGCTTATTTCCTCGAAAAAAATTCCAGAAAGGATTAAGCATGATTTAAATAATAAATGAAGGCATTATCTTTGTTGTTGCAAAGCTAAGTTTCTCTAGATTGGCAACAAATCCGCTTTTCTGCTGTTTCAAATGTAAACAAGAGCAATGGCTGCCATCAAAAACACTATTAGGTTTAGCGGCACTTAAACAATTTTAAAATTGTTGATAATTCTAAAAATATTGCACACGTATTTACTAAAGGCATAAAAACCTTAACCGGAAAATAAGAACAACATAATTCAATCATTTTTAAAGCAAAAAATTTACAAACATATAAGAGTAAAGAAACTGAGATCACTGAGCCGGGTAACAGAGTGGATATATATATAAATATATTTATATACGTTTCGTGTGGCCAATTGCAACCAAAACACGAGGTGCACATCTACATGTTATAGCAGTCCTATGTACAAAATTTCAACGTTTTGAGGCTACTCGTTTTTGAGTTATGCGAGATAACGTACGTACATACAGACGCTAGCATACGTTCGTACAGACGCCACGAAAAATTCTCTTCAGAATTCATTTTAAAGCAGTTTTATAATTTTTTTTGGAGGAAAAGAGTGTTTTATTCTGTCCTTACATATAGATATCATGGAAATATATCAATAAATTGCATTTGAAAGAGGTCAAAATGGGATATTTTCGTTGAAATATGCTGCCTGAAATTTTTCGCGACTACAATACTTCCTTTTTACTTCGTACGAGGAAGTAAAAATGAAGCAAATTGTTGTTAGGTGGAGACATATGCTTATTCTGTAGCCAAAATACATAGTATATAACAGGGCTTCTCATTCAGTGGGTCCTTTTATTATAATGAATATTTTCATGGTATTAAGTATTAGAGGTACATAAACTAAAAATGCAAATTGAAGCATTTGCTGGTAATGGGTCATAAAGAAATTCATCCAAAAACAGTTCTTTGATATATATACAAGTATAATTTTATCGTGTATTAAGGGCAAAGCCAAGTATTCATAATGGGGCTGCTTGTTTACTCTTACATAAGAATGTATGAATGTTTGATATTGCAAGCTGTAGAAATGATATTTTTCCTTTAATTTCATAAGCATTTAATACTGAAAATAGCTGGTTATTTGATTATGGCAGAGCATGCCAGGGCTATCTATCTGCTTAAGAGGAGGGATACTGTCATGGAGGATTTTCTGATGGAAACTGGCTTGTATACACAATACACATGGGAAAAACCATGAAGGCTGCCACATAACCAGCCTGTTCATCAGGATTCAAACCCTGGACCAAATTACCACTGTTCAGCATATTTAATACTGAAAATAGCAATGCTTTGCATAAATATAAAATGTTTTAGAATTCTCTAAAGAAATTTTAGAAAATGCTGAATTTTAATCCTCAGTCAAAATCCACATAATGATTTTTTTGGAAAACTCAATTTTTAAACTATTTTTGCTAGATAGTTCTACAAGTTCTTCATAATTTAATGATAAATGACTGATATTAATCATTTTAGTTAAGCATGGCTTATGAATCCAATATTCTTTTTCAATATCAAAATTTGAAAGAAAGTATTTTTGAAATTGTCACATCAGACACTTTAAATGAGCAGTAATAACTTTTACAATTAAATTCTTGAATAGGATACTTTCAGTTACAAACAAATCTTTAGCTGTAAACATTTCTAAATCTTTTTTTTTTTTTTTTTTCACTTTTTTAAAGAATCTTTCAATTTTCATATTCTAACTTCAGTTACTTCCTGAAGGTGAAATATTTAAACAATATAAAAAAAATCTGACAAATAACATAATTTTAAAAACTAATTCATTGTAAAAATTTGCTTCCAAAATTTAGATGAGAAATATTTGGATAATATTAAAAAGGCTGAGAAATATTTGGATAGTATTAAAAAGGCTAAGGCAAAGTGAACAAAAATAAATAATTAAGAGCCTTTAGATATAAAAATGAAGAAATACAAACCTCTTCTTAGCTCTGAAGTTTATCAAATCAGATCTATGGTCCTCCAACAAAGATCTTGCCGAAGCTATACTGTTTCTTAGAAATAACTAATGCCAGTTTTTCCATTTCATTATACATGCTAATTAATATAAATAATTTGCTATGCCATCTTTTTTTTTTTTTTTCCCTGTAGCATCTATTATTATTTTTTTTATATTAAAAAAATAAGCTGTAACCCATGTGTATAAGTTTACATATATAGTATATGTAAACCTATACACATGTTCTGTAGCGCGATCTATTTGCGAGAATGACACCACATTTTGTAGGAAGATTAAACAAGATGGGGGACGAAGGATTCCGCGAAAAAACAATTTAGTTCCAAAAGTCACCGCTAGGGGAATATTTGGCACTGTGTAATAGAAAATAGAGTGTTAACAAATGCAAATTAATACGGAATAAAATTACCTTTTATTATGCACATTTTCTGATTTAGTTCAAGTGCAATATGGCAACACTTTTAAAAAAGCGTAAAATCTACATAAACACCGATAAAGTCTCGTGATCTGCAATATCACGTACGCTGAGCAGAAAAAGAAGTTCTTTATTCAAATTTCACGTTACATCCATTCGCACAGTGCCAGCTGCTTGGGTTTTAAAAAGGCAATGTGTTACGTTTCGAATCAATCGGATTGAAAGTTTATGTGCAATGTCTCCTTCTTTAGTCGAGCGTGCGTTACTGGTCAAATTCTTTTACCTCAACCAGTGCAACGCGTCAGCCGCTCTTCGTGCTTTTAGAACGCACAAAAAAATGCGTAAAGGTAACGGTCCTGTGTCAGTTAATGGGCTAAAAGCAATGGTTGCGACGTTTGAGAAAACAGGTTCTCTGAAGGTTCAGTCAGGCAGAGGACGAAAACCTGTACCACAGGATACAATCGAAGCAGTTGCCACGGCGATTGTCGACAGAGGACCAGACAATATTGCTGCCACCTCTAGCGCTCGTGGAGTAGCTCGGAATATGGATATGCCTTACAGTACGGTATGGAAAATCTTACGAAAGATTATCAACTTCTATCCGTACAAGATCAGCCGTGTACAGGAGTTACTGTACCCCGACCATGATAAGCGATTGACTTTTGCTCTCACCTTTCTTGCCAGAATGGAGGTGGATGATGCTTGGCCGTGGAAAATCTTATGGGGAGACGAGGCCCACTTTTACCTGAATGGAACTGTGAATACCCAGAACTGCCGAATTTGGGATGACAAATCACCACATGCAGTCACAGCAATTCCCTTACATTCACCAAAGGTAACTGTTTGGTGTGGGTTCACAGCGGAATTTATCGTAGGTCCATTCTTCTATGAGAACATTACCCCGACAGGACCGGAAACCTGTTCTGTTACCGGAGAGAAATATCGCCACATGTTGAACAGCTTTGTCATTCCGGCACTTCAGCAAAGACAATGCCTGGGGGAAATCATTTTCATGCAAGATGGAGCCCCTCCACACGTTGCTGTACGGGTGCAACAGATGCTACGACAGAAATTCACAACAGAAAGAGTCATTAGCCGCTACTTTCCAACTGCATGGCCACCTCGGTCGCCTGATCTTACCCCATGCGACTTCTGGCTATGGGGTTACCTTAAGTCCAAGGTCTATCAAGGAGTGGTCCAGGACCTGGCTACGTTGAAGGATAACATATCACGGACTGTACGGGAGATTCCTGCAGACATGTTACTTTCTGCTGTTGTGCATACTGTGCACAGAATGCAATATGTGGTCCACAACAACGGCAGCCACATTGAACCTCATTTGAATGCAAAATAAAAGGTAATTTCCATATTGATTTGCATTTATTTGTTAACACTCTATTTTCTATTACACAGTGCCAAATATTCCCCTAGTGTTGACTTTTGGAACTAATTTGTTTTTTTGCAGAATCCTTTGTCCCCCGTCTTGTTTAATCTTCCTACAAAATGTGGCGTCTTTCTCACAAATAGATCGCGCTACAGAACACTGTGAGCACTGTCAGTTTAATTATGGCCACCCGGTATATATATAGAAAGTTTTTTTTTTTTCAACAATGTCCTTATCGATATTTAAATTTTTTTTATAATTGATCCCTTTCAACCGAATAATTAGCAACTGAATTTATTTTTCTCACTCATCATCAGTTCATTGACAATGGAAGGGTGAGTCCACATCTGTGTCATTTCCTGTTTTTCTTTTTCTTCTTTTGTTTTCTTTCTTTTTTGGAGGGGATGTTAGGTTATCAACTACAATTTGTTGGGGTGGTTTTCTGAAGTTCAGTGGTAATTTTATCAGTTAACTGTTTGGTTTTTCACTAGAGCAGATCTCTTTTTCTCTTTCGTTTTTGTTCAAAGTTTTGCTAGCACTACGTTTAATAGTTTTGAGTTGTAGACGTTTATTTAATTTTATTTTATAGTTTATAATTTCTAATTGTAGATATAAGTTTTTTTTTTTCGGATTTTTAATTATTTTCCAAACGGATTGGAGAGGGCTGACCATTTCTGAAGCACTGAAAGTGTTACACAAATTGCTTTTGGATAGTGAATCGGATACGGATCCCAGTACATAAAACATGCAATACTGGATAGTGCTTTTTCAAAGGTGGTGTCACTTTCTTCGAAAAGTACCGCCTTGAAAAAATTAGACTAAAGTGTAAATGTAAATATCATATATCCAAGTTACTTTTTTTTCCCATTCATGCGCAGGTAATCATCATATAACCAAAAAAGAGCATTTTAGGGGGGTGTAGAGTAGCAGGTCTCCCCATGGCACACCCTGGTTAATGCTAATTATGCTATGGTATTCAGAAGCTAGTGTTTTTTAATAGGCAAAATCTCTTACTCTTTTACGCGCTTCTGAGCAATGCTCGTTTCAGCACTCTTTTCGAGGCTCTATTTAGTCAGTGTGCCCACTTCGGGCACACTCGCAGAATTAAAACAATAAGTGCTATCTTCACAAAATTTTACTTGTGTACTCCTCTAGGCCTTATTAGACTGCCTTTATTATTATTATTATTATTATTGAAATTCCAACTTTAAAAGGCAGCGTGCCATGCCGGAAAGGGTTAAATCATCCATTTATCCATAACTTTATCAAAGTGTTAGATGAGATTTGATGGCAGCTATTATATATTCATTTCGGAAGTTTCCAGTTATTTGTTCTAGAGTAGGTGGCTAAGAATATTGCGAGTGCCTACAATAGACATAAGCATCAAAACTGAGTGAGCTTTGTGATTGAATTTATTTTAACAAATGTCACTGATATGTTAATATGTTGTTGTTTCAGGATCTTTTATTCTTCAGTTTCATAAGAAAGTTTATTTACACTAGGATTCTCTTTTTTAATAAATATTAATTTCATCAACAGTAACATTTTAAATCATAGGTCACTCTTTAAAAATACATTGGAACTTTATAAATAACTAGTTTTTATAACTTATAGTTGCAAAAGCAAAAAATACTAATATCATAAATCTGTGAATTTGCAGTTTGAAAATTAATGTTATTCAGATATCAAATATGCATTCAGGTTCCAAATAGAAATGTTAGAAAATTAGTATTTTAACAGCAGTGTTTTATTCTTAAAAAGTACATTGATTCGTATTAATTCTGGCAATTTGCCTGCTTTTGAATAATAAATTCTAAGATTTATATATTTTTTTAATTTCATTGTTTATTTTTAAATCTTGACAAAATTTATTCAAGTTGTGTAACTTCTGCAATAAACTGTTCTTTAAATATCTATATAACATATGCTAATCTACTTTTTTTTTTTTTTTTTTTCTTCCCCGCAGTCAACCCAGTTCAGTGCAACTGCAAAGAAGGTACGGCGCCACATGTGGTGTAAAAATTTCCGAATGTGGTTAATACTTATTGGAGTTGCTGCAGTTGTAGTAACTCTTATAATATTATTAGCCACTAATGTTATTCCAGTTAGGAGTTAGTTTATTGCTACTTAATCATTCTGCTCAACATTTGGTGCAATATATTTTTGCCTTACATTCCTAGTACTGATAAAAATATATTTTGATATTTCTGCCATTTAAGAATGCTGTGAAAAAGTACAATTTTCTAATATTTTTAGAAAAATTCTGCAGCACAGAAGTATTCATTTTCAATACTTCTCTATCAACATATATGAATGTAAGAATCATTTATAGAATTGTGTGTACATTGTAAACAGAGCTTAATCTATTTATCTTATGCTATTTTAAAGATTATATTGTAAATTATGTTTGATTTAACATTAACATGATCATACTTTTAAGCTAAATTTTTAAATAATCAATCTTTTTGTTTGTTTGTTAGTAGTATTGGAAAATAAAGATAGATCTTTCCTGTTAAAATTTACACCTGAAAATCTTTGATTTAAGAAAAGAGATAAACAGTATAATTTACATTTTGCTTTGTAATATTAACAATAATCAGTTTAAATTGTTAGTAATAACAGTAATAATTCTTGATTTTTAAGCTATTCATACATTCAATTTTAGAAATTATTGATTCCAGGCATGTTTAAAAAGCTCATATAATTGATAAAATAGCTGGCATTTCATTTTTTAAACTGTCAAAGAATAAATGTTGCTTATAAAATGAGGAGAGTTATATCCTGTTGCAGCTTCCATGGTATTTTCATTAGCTGTTACAGCATTATGGCATTTTGTAAATTTCATAACTTTAAAATTTCTACTTCAGATTTATATGTGAGAGAAATTTTTTTAAGTCATTGCACATGTGAGTCATTCAAATATTTATTTCTATAAATTATAATATACAGATTCCTGTTATTAAAATATGATAGTTAAAATATAAATGTTTGCTAAGTGTTATAAAATATTCCACTGCAAAACATTCCATATTTTCTGTATAGCAAACTAATATTTACTTCATACTGATATGTAATATTTTCTTATAAAATAAATGTAATTTATAAGTCTTTATTTATTTTAGCTGCAGAAATTTCATCAAAATAGTTGAGCTTGAGAAAACTGTGCAACTTATTTATTCCATTCACAAAAATCACACTAACTTATATTTTCTGTAATTAATCCTCCAGTTATGAAAAATGTTTTAATGTTATATTTTGATCATTTTTGAAGATTTCTACCCTCTCATTTGGATTATATTTATGCATTTTAGGGAGTGTAGAAACTTAAAAATCATGATATTTTTTAAATCAAGATCTCAGTTTGAAACCTCATTGTTCAGAGTATATTTTGGTTGGTTATTATTAGCTATGTGATTTTCACTATATATGATATTAGAAAGAAACTAGAGTCCATTAAGTTTCAAGAATAAGGAAAATAAATGTTTTTCCTGTTCAGTTTTCATCAATATTTAATTTCATACGATTGCTAAAGATTCTTAATGTTTAATATAAATAAATAAAATTAATAAAAACAATAAAAAGTCTGAAAGCTTTCAGATTTTACATTATGTCCAAAGGAGCATTTTTTGAACATTTCGTGTGTTACCTTATCATGTTCTTCGCACTTAAACCATAAATTGTGACCGTCATGCAAAGAAAAGATAATAAACAATGTAAAAAAACTTTATTTTACAACCAAAAAAGTACCAGATAAAAATTAAAAATGTTATAATTCGTATTAAGTGCTCAAATTAGGGCCCCCATCAGCTGCAATGCATGCTTCATATCGGCGTCACATGATTCGTGAAGTTGTTCAAGTTGGCCAGGAGTCTCTCTTACACGTGCCATGATGTCCATACCCAATGGAATGGGTATCTCGTACACCAGACACTTCAAGTGTCCTTATAATGTAGAAATCCAGGAAGGTTAAGCCGGGGATCGCGGTGGCCACAGTACAGTGCCGCCTGCTAATCCTCCAATCTGGGTACATCAAGTTTAAAAACTGACGTACGTTTCTGTAGAAATGTGAGGGAGCATATGGTTAAGGAAACCATCATGGGGAAAGGTAATTGCATTAGTGATTATCCATGATGGAAATTGCGGGTCTGCGAACCTTCTTGTATATACAAACGTGCGAATGCTACATGTCGGGGATAATGCATATCGCTTAGCTTACAGCGTGTGTTGTAAGTGGATGTTGGTGATCTTCCCGCAGTATTCGCATAATGGAAGAGCGATCAACATCTAGGTCGCATTCCACGACACAGATTAAGTATCATTGTTTCTAATACAGCATTCTTGACATCCGCTGTCCATGCTGTACATTGTTGGTCGATGTGGCTGCTGATTCTGAACGATTCTGCCGCCTGCAGTCAGCAATGTAATTATCTGTACAGTCTATGGTCAGGTACATGTCTGTTTGGGAACTGTTATCGATACATGCATACCACAGCATATCCACTGCTATCTACATAATGCATGTCTGCCAATTCTGCATTGCTAAACTGGTTCATCCTTTCCCTGCAACATGCACACTTCGACTGATCCGCCTACCCACTTGCTCTGCCAGGGCTCACTGCCTCAACATCTGGCAAAACCTAAGCAGGAAAGCTATCTCGCTGCATAACCGCTGGGCATTTCATAACAATATATATCATCTTGATCACTCTGTTTTGGAAGTTTCCACATTTCTCTCATATTTAACAAGAATAAGAGGCAGTTTCCTTTAAAAATCTTACATGAGGGCATTCCTCTGTTTAGGAAAAGAGCCTTTGTGTACGTTTTCATATTCAAAATGTACCAAACTAAGACTTTGCATGGCTGACTTTCATATAGTTCATTTCCATGGCATCAGCATCCTTGCAGATTTTGTTTTTGTATCCAAACCACATATGATTTTTTCATCACAAAATTTAGAAACTTGGTTCATGTTTTTCTACACTAATCCATTTAAGATATCTTTTTCATTTTTCTACAAATTAATTGTTAGTTCATGTTTCTTTCATCTTTAACATATATATACCACATTTTTTAACATTATGCTCATTAAGAAGGTTGTTAAACTTTGTAGAGACATTAGGTATGTTTTGGAAGCAGGCAAGATGAAAAATTGGCAACACCTTCACTGGGAATCAAACCATGGACCTCTCAATTACGCGCTGAGCGTGCAGACCACTATACCACGAAAGCTCGCAAAGAATGTGGGAGAAATACCTTAAATATTTCCCCTTTTAAAGGGCGACTGGGGTTTTTTGGGGACCCAATCGCCAAATCTTGGGTGAGGAGAATCATCATCCAACATCCTTTTAGTTCTAGCACCACTGTAGAGACATTAGTTATTTTTTGGAAGCAGGCAAGATGAAAAATTAGCAATGCCTTCGCCGGGAATCGAACCACGGACTTCTCAATTAAGCACTGAGCATGCAGGCCACTACACCACGAAAGCTCGCTATGAAGGCGGGAGAAATACCTTGTAAGAAAGACCAAAAGATACCACTGATAAAATTCATGAATTTTCAGTGTACTCTTTACTTTGCAATATTTTCTCCATTATTTCTTTAGGCTGCCAGCTCAGTTAACATAACATAGTCCTCAGTTGATAGAGGTTTTATTGCACTTGTAAAATTTTGCAAGGCTGTTGTAATGAATGAGTGAAGAATACACACACTGAATTGAATTGAGTAATAGAATAGGATATAGATGTCTTCATCAAAATACTACCATAAATGATTACTTTGTGATACAGAAGAATAGGGGGAGATTACTCCCTATGTCTGAAAGGAAGCTGCATGTAACTCGATGTAGCAGAGTCAATTATATTATGTGTAGTTATGCTAACCAGTTTGTGGAAATCATTCTTAAAATGGTGTTTAGTTGTCTGTGAGCAGTTAAGCTTCCCAAGGTCTTATGTTTCTCTGCCAGAAGCAATAACATTGGGCAAGCAACATTATCCAGAGAAATATTTCATAATGTAATTTCACTCGTTCATGTGTCGGATTTGAGCAATGCTTATGGGGTCTCCACACCAAAAAGTTTAAGAAACCCTGCACTAGATCATCCATAGATATAGATAAAGCATACACCAACATATAGTTCAAGTGGCTTTTAGAAAGTCACTTTAAGAGTAATTAGGGCCACTTTTTTATTGGTAGCTTAACAAGAATATTTTAGTAGAGCATTTCTCAACCTGTGGTACACATACCCCAAGGGGGACGTAACATGAGGTGTTGGGGGGAGTATGGAAAAAAAAAAGATGTCATGGTGGACATTGATTGATAGATTTAACAATAGAGAAAAGATAAAAAGCTGTCCTAACTTAAGTTACAATTTGAAAAGAAACCCTTATCTCATTCTGGGCTAACTTAAAAGAAGAAATATCTTGAATTATTTAACATGACAGTCACTATTCTGGTACTGTTTGAAGCAACGTATTAATACAAAGGGTTTTCTTATCTAATGCTTAAAATATAAGTAAGGAACAGATTCTTCAGTGTAAGTTTGGACTTCAGACTATATTTGTCATTCAATCTGGATTTTAAATTACTGAGTGCTGCCAAACAGCCTCAAGGTTCCTGTCTATTCTTTTAATTTAATGTGTAGAATTACCAATGTACTACTTTTTTTTGTAACTAGGAAAAAAAAATATCTCTCTATTATAATGCTTTTATTGTACCTATACATGCAGGTGTTAGTAATTATACATAAAAGTGGAATGGACCAGTAATGATAGGCCAAGAGGTTTGAGAAAAGATTGAAAAATGCTCTTTAGCAAAAGTAGTCAAACATAAAAGTCATTAGTCATAGTTTAGTTAACGAGTTTAAAATACCTCATTTACAAAACATGTTCAGATGCTTAATATTCAAAAACTGACATGAAAAATATATCATATAATCTGGCATATAATGTGCACCAGTGTAATAAAATGTGCACCTATAATTTCAAACTACATTTTAAAATTTTTAGGTATATTCGCCATATAGCATGCAGCCTTTTCTTTACGAAGAAACCTGAGAGATACATGTGCAATGCTCTCATTCATTACATTCATTCAAAGAATTTCCCCAGACTTTGAAATAATGGTATACTGAATTGGCAAAACAATATATGTATAGGAAATACTTGAGGGAGTAAATAATTCTGCAAAGGTGGTAGGTGGAATTCAATACAGCTGTGCACAAGAATTCTATTATTCTAGGGTTTCAAGAAAAGAGACTTAATTTCGAGTACAGGGTTCATATACATTTCTGCACCTGGAAATTAAGTACTTTTAAGGACCATTAATGAAAACAATTAAAGACCTATAAGCAAATGGGAACTGAATAAATTCAATTAAAAATATTATATATGCCTGAACTTTTGTAATACCATCCTAAAAATAAAATAGATCCGTAAGAAGGATGCATTATTATTAAACATGACTTAATTAACATAATTATTATTAAGTTCTGAGAATAAAATATATGAAATTTATGAAGGACCATTATATATTTTACACTTATAAGAACTGAACATATTTGAAAGGAGATAAGTGACATTTTATTTACATTTTACTGACAGTTTTATGTTGATTTTATTTTATATCTCATTTTGTCACATACTTGCTCAGTCTACAGCTTTAGTAAATAGTAAGCAGATTTTATGTCAAGTGGCATAGGTCGAGAAGTAAAATCATAATCAGCATGATTCACAACAAAAGACTGGCTGTTGTCACTGCTGCTGCTTACCTAGTGAGAGACCTGCTGATCAGAACAAACCTAAAAGGCCTGATGTAGGCATGGTTTTCAAGTTCTGAAAGTTAGCTAGGTTCTGATACCGTTAGTGTCGTAGCTTCGTGTAGATTTCCAGGGGTTGTGAGTCAGTTAATATACTTTAAGGTTCAAAATAAGCCACAAAAGCACCAGAGGTGATAAGTTGTTTTGCATTATTTTAAGTCTCACTAGATACGAAAATAAGTTTTACATTTTTGTGTTTTATCTTGTGACTACAGTAAGGGTTAATGAAAGGCAATAACTTGCTTTAATATGCAGAGATAATTTTTAAGGGCAAGCAGTTAGTTATAAGTAATTAAATTA